CCCCAAAACCCCAAAACCCCAAAACCCCAAAACCCCTGTAGATTAAGGTTTAGTTGAAAATAATATTTATAAACCTGCATTTTCTTTGATAAAAGTTGGAAGGGAGTCGATCAATCTCTCTTTGTCAACTGCATTTTCCATAATCCTCTTACAACCAAAACATAAATGTTGCTCAAATTCTGTGTTCCAGGTATCATTTTCACTTTCCATAAGATCAAGCTCTCCCTCGAGAGAGACAGATTTGATGTGAGAACCTACTTCAAGGATATTAGTGGCATGATCAACGAGGCCATAACATAGGACACAGTAATTCTTGCTCTCATCTTCAACGATTCCCAACTTGAGCTTATTAGAGGTCCTCAAAACTGTATGAACTGTCTGGACATTGGAAACCTGGAGCTCGTTTATGAATTCCTCACATAGAAGATTCATACTTCCAAATCCAGGAAGCTTCTTAGCTTTCTTGGAATTATTCAAGCTGATGGAAGTCCTTTCAATGACAGATACTTCATTAAACTTGTTATATTGCTGTATCTCGTTGAGAAGGTAGTCTCTCATTGGGTTCATGAACTTGATGTCTTCAAGGTATCTATCGTCAACAAAGCATACATCATTTGGAAGAGAGAGTCCTCTTCCTTTGGCAATTTCGCTCATGACCTTGGAAGTAACTTTTACAGCAGTGCATCCTAACAAGAGCTTCTTAAATCCGAATTTTAAGGCAAAATCTAACAAGAGCCACTTCTTGAGATTGAAAATAAGATCTTCTCTGCTTGAGCAAAGTTCTGAAGGATACTTTAGCAACTCTCTCAATTTTTCAGCATTCTCTTCAGTTGACTGATAGTGATGATTGACATATTCCTTGCTATCTTCGATAGGAGGGGTGAATTCTTTGGTATTAGGATTTAACTTTTCAACATCAAAGACTGACTCAAGAGACAAAATCGTGTATTCGAATTTATACTTCTCACAGGCATCTTTGAAAAGCTGGATGTTTGTATTTCTTTTCTCTTCGTCCCATCCATACACAACACCATCATCAATGTGTACAATGTGCACTTTAAAGAACATCTTCCTCTGAGATTCTCCGAACAAAGAGACATGCATAAGATGAAGCATCGCCATTGAATTAGGCCCACCAGAGACACAGATAAGGTTAGAGTTGTCTTTCCAGATCTTTAGACTATTTCTCAGGTTGGTCTTGAACCTATGAATACATCCTTGCTTGAAGCAGCTTTCACAACTTCTATCACCTCTATTAATGATAATTCCTTCTTTCTCCTTGCATTTGAGGCAATGGAATGCTGGGTCATAAGCTATAAAAACAGTTAGGGCTTAATTCCTCTCTAAAAAGCCTTACCAAGTATCTTTTGGCGTTCAGCCTCTTCTTTAAGTAACTTCTTCTTCAGCTTCTTGCTGATCTTCATGCCTTTGAGCTTCTCTTGGAGTTCTTCAACCCCTTCAGCTTCTATTTTATCAAGGCTATCTATTTCCTTCTTGGGCTTGGTCCTTCCCTTCTTAGCCTCTTCTACTTCCGGAACTGGGTGTGTTTCCATAAATGTGTTGTTGATGGTAATTAAATTATCCAATATTTTTAGAGGAATTTGGGGTTTTGGGGTTTTGGGGTTTTGGGGTTTTGGGGTTTTGGGGTTTTGGGGTTTTGGGG